AGCAGCTTATCTCCGAAACGCGCACGGTTGCAGTCCGGTGCCCCAGGAGGAGAAAGCGAGCAAGGACGACCTCTGGGGCCGGGAGAGGGAGGGATCCGCGCCAGATCCCTGCGGTGGCGCGGGCTCCGCAAACAGAAGCGCTCCGGGGGAGTTTCTGTTGAGCGGATCCCAGGTGACCCGACGGGGAAAGGCGCCTCTGTCCGAGGTCCTGAATACGTACTACCGTCGTGGGAATAACATACAGGGGCTAATGGGCAGTAGCAGACATTTGGAGGGATTGAAGTCAGTTTCCAGAGCCATTATCTATGATCATGGATCGAGTGATGGTCTAGCACTTACGGGACCTGGATTCAAATCCTCGCTACATCAGGAAAGACTCACTGTGTGGTGGCAGTGTAAAACTCCTCACATCCTTTGAACTCTCCCTCACAGTGGTTCCAAACCCTGGGTTCCCAGAAGTTTTTCTTTCTTTCTATTTAAAACACTTTTACCTCATCTTTCTCGTTAAAAGGGACCCAAGGTGGATTACCTCATTCAAAGTCAATATTTAAAGCTAAAAACAATACCTATCCGAATACTTGACATGCTTCAAGGATTCTTTCACTTTCCTTTTGATAGGATCTTTACTCTGTTCCCCGTACTATTCTACCTCATGGTGCCTCTTTTCATGGACATCTGTTAACACTTAATATAACATACGAGTCTACCAAAGATACATTCACAGTAGAGGTATGCTTACCTAATTTTACTCTATAATTTTCAGTATACTCTAGGAATATTTGTATTTGAAGCAAAGTATATTCAGGGATTAGTAAATTCTGAATAAAAGCGAATTTGAAAAAGCAACCAAGTAATTTTATATACTCTTCCTTCTGAGTGCTATTATGGCCAGTGGTTTCTAAGAAATATCAGTTCCCAGAACTGAGAGCATGGATGAAGCAAATAAACTTTATTTTATTTCTATTTTCTTGCAGGCTCATAGCAATGAAACAATAGGAAGTGTTAGATGGAAGATAGCAAAGCTGTTGAATGCTCCTGTGGACAACATACAAATATTTGCAAATGATAGTTTGGTATGATGCCATTATTTTAACAATATTCCAAATCTCTGTAGTCTGATAGAGCTAAAACAAAATATGTATATTTCAGCTAACGGTGAATAAAGATCAAAAGCTGCTTCACCAGCTCGGCTTCTCTGATGAACAGGCACTTACTGTAAAAACATCAGGAAGTGGAACTCCATCAGCAAGCTCTGCAGATTCCTCTGCTAGCTCTAGCAACAGTGGTAGTGTCTTCAGTTCATCATATGCAATGGAACAGGTATAGCACAAATTTATTTATTTATTTATTTATTTATTTATTTATTTATTTATTTATTTATTTATTTATTTATTTATTTATTTATTTAATATCCCGCCTATCTAGTCAATTAAGACTACTCTAGTTGTTGGAGTTTATTTGAAAAATTGTCTTCTTTGGCTCTGTTTCATCTACAAGCAAATAAGGAAAGTAAAATACATTATTTCTTTGGAGGAGAGGTGTTTTTTTACCCGTTGTGTTGGACTTTTCCCCCTTCCCTCCCTTCCCTCCTTTTTTCCCTGGACTGTTCCCGCCTTTTTTTGTATGGCCTCCAGGGCTCCTAGATCTCCCAAGGTCACTTTTAAGAGTTGTGCTGACTGTGGGAAAAAGATTCCCTCCACAGATGGCCATCGTTCATGTTTATTTTGCCTTGGAGAGGCGCACGTTCCTCAATCCTATCACCATTGCGAGAGTTTTATGAAGCAAGGGCTGAGACTTAGGGAGCAGTGTCTTCGCGCTGCCCTTTGGGAGAAATCTCTGTGCCCTCCTGACATGGAGGTAGCCGCTTCTGCTGCGGGACCCGATCCCTTACTGGACATAAAGTCTAAGGGCAAGGGCAGAACCTCAAAAAGCAAGGCTAAGGCCCCCAAACCGTCATCTAAATCATCTAAATCCAGGGCCATAGTTTTGCTGCCTCCCCCGCAGCCGCCTTCATCTCCTCAGCGTACCCCCAGCCTACAACCACAGACATCTCCATTGTTGCCGGTGTTGACTCCTATTGAAATTCAATCCCAGGGCTCTTCGCCGCCATCTTCCCCTCCATCGCCAGCTCCACTTCCACCTACCCCGGAGTTGCCATTGAAACCTTCCTCTCCTAGAAAGAAGGCGAAAATGAAGCATTTGGCGCCATCTCCTGGAGATTTCCGGCCTCCGAGACTCTCGGGACCGAAGGTCTCCTCCCCCGGGGCTCGACATTCTCTCCCCAAAAAGGCCAAAAAGCATGTGCCTAAGGAGGATGCGCCGCCTCTTAAACTTTCTAAGAGTTACCTTAAGAAGTGGAGGAAGCAGATGCAAAAGCTGTATGATCCATGCCTCCTATACAGCCTTGCTGCTAAGGACTCTTCTTCAGATTCCGCCTCATCCTCCTCAGATTCGTCCGACGAGATCTCCTCCCCTACGATATCGCCTTTCCCCTATACCGGGAAAAAGAGACACCGTACGGTACCGATGGATGTTCTGGTACCGAAGAGGTCAAAACACGGCGAACCACTCCCTTTTCCAATGCGACCGCAGGCGCCGGTACCAGCGAAGAATGACCTACCCTACCTGATTACCTCGGGTCGATACCGTACCGCCTGGTACCGACCCTACCGGTACCATGCCACCCAAACGAAAACGTGTCCACGGAGAAATGCCCGCGATGCCACACCCAAAGAAGAAGAAGCATCATCGCGCTTCCTCTGACTCTGATTCTTTCCAGTTGGATCAGATGGGTACCGATCGGGATTCCGATACCGATGAAGACCCCGGTACCGGTAACCCTCCTGATACCGATGGCAGAGAGGATCACAGTACCGATCCTCTTCCAGGGCATGGACATAAGAAAGCACTTCCTAAACCTCCCTTACCGAGGCATCCGATCCCGCAGATGCCTTTACCGGATCATCCCGATGACTCGGATGACTCCGATATGGAGAACAGTTTTTCTGACGCTTCAGCGCCCAGTGATAACACCCCCAATTCAGCAATCATTGACAAGCATCCAGTTTCACTGGCTGCGGACTTTCCCTTCTATTCACAAATGATCCATCAGATCACCACCACACTCGAACTTCCTGTGGAAAGGCCTCCCGAGATGGTGTCAGACAAGGTCTATGGGGACATCGATGAAGACCAGAACCTGCCAATGCGGTTGTCCTTTATCCCGTTGTTGCTGAGAACTTTAAAACAACACTGGGACAAGCCCTGTTCTACCCCCCAAATGTCTAGGAGGATTGAGAACCTTTATCGTATTCACGGTTCTGAGTTGGACTTTCTGATCAAGCATCCCGTCCCAAACTCCTTAATAGTGGATGTGGCCCAGTCTAAACTGAGACCCACTTCGACTGCTACACCTAACAACAAGGATGGAAGGAAAATGGACATTTTTGGACGTCGGTCCTATGCTTCCGCCTCTCTAGTAGTCAGGGTCGTAAATTATGTGGCAGCCATGGCCGCATACCACCAGCACCTGTGGAACAGGGCGCTGCCATCTTTGCAAGCTTCTCCTGATGAGTTGCAACCAAGAGGCCTCTCGTTGCATCAAGAAGCTATGCAGCTCATACGTCAGGAACGGATTTCCCTCAGACACATTTTGGACATTGCATCTCGCAATCTTATGACTAGCATCACCATGAGACGTCAAGCGTGGCTGAAATCTGCGGCTATATCGGATGACTCCAAGGCGCGCATTTTGGATTTGCTCTTTGACGGGTCAGGTCTGTTCGATCCTAAGACTGATGAGATCCTCAAAGGTATCCACAAGGCGAAGAAAACTGCGAGGTCTTATGTCCCGCAACCGTACTACAAGCAACGATATCCGTGGAAGTGCCAAGCTTCTCTAGCCCCTTCCCAGTCTGGGAAACTCTACCCAACCAAGCAATATTATGCTGCTCCCACTAGCTACACCACTAGACATGACCAACGACAAAAGTCACGTCCCTCCTATAAGAAGTCCGACCGCAAATCCAAGCAGGGACTTTGACTCTTTCTTCACCACTTCTATCTCTTCCTACGGCACCCGTTTATCGCCCTTCCTAGCAAATTGGTCGCTAATCACTTCAGGGGGCTTCTCCAAAAATTCTATTGCATAGCCATCATCGCCCAAAAAGGGACAACTCCTTTCGTCAGACACCTCAACAAGTTCATTGTCTATCGTCGCTTCAGGATGGTGACCCTAGAGAGAATTCTACCGCTCCTTCAACGGGGCGACTGGTTCGTGGTCATAGACCTCAGCGACACCTACTTTCATATAAATATAAGACAGGATCATCGTCGTTACTTGCGTTTTTCGCTGGGGTCAAAATACTACGAATTCTCCGCTCTGCCTTTTGGACTTTCCACCGTGCCAAGAGTCTTTACGAAGTGTATGGCACCGGTGGCAGCTTTCCTCTGGACGAAGGGAATCGCCGTGTTTCCATACATAGACGACTGGCTTTTGGTAGCACATTCCAGACATCAAGCAGAGCGGCACACTCTTACAGTTCTGCGCCTCCTCAAAACTCTGGGACTGGAGGTGAACTACAAAAAGTCAGTCCTTACTCCGTCTCGGGTCGCATCTTATATCGGTGCCATTCTTGACGCTTGGGTAGCGAGAGTCTTTATGCCCCAAGAGAGGGCGGACAAAATGACATTGAGTCACGGCACACTCTGCTCAGAAGCTATTGGGTCTTACGGCTTCTACAACATCTGTCATCCCCCATGCGAGGTTGAAACTCTGATCGCTACAGGTCTGGCTTCTCTCGCTTTTTGACCAGAGGTGGGATTCAGCAGGTTCGCACCTATTCTATAGAACCGATTCCTAAATGTACTATTGGTTCTTAGAACCATTTGCTAGCCTGAGATGAATGAAGGAAGAGGGGCCAGGTGACCAGCGACGAGCGGGGGAGGGGGCGCAATTAGCTGCCTCCCTTCCTGCGCCACAATGAGCCGTCTGAGGTGGGGTGTGGGTGAGAGAGATAAAGCCCTGGAAAGAGCAGAGGTGTCAATGGGGGAAAGGGGGGGAGGATGAGTCCTTGACGTCACTGGAGGAGAGCTCATGGCCTCGAGGCAGAGAGGGGGGGTGATTGACAAGGCATGAGGGCAGGACACAGAGGGAAAAAGTTTTGGGGTGAGACCGCTTCAGCCAAACACCCAACCGTCTTCATTTTACTATGATTTTTTTTTTCAAGTTAAAGGTACCACATAAGACTGTTGCTTATGTGGTACCTTTTTTTTTAAATCTCAGAGAATATCCAATGCATGAAGTGGTGA